TGCAAGATGGCGGCTGCCTGTACTGGTGACCCGCGACCATGGAGATATAAACAGCTTTTTATAAGGTAAAAACAATAAAACAAAGTCTTTGTCTGCAATGATTAGACATGTTTTTTATTATTGTCATTGGTGATTATCTCAACTTCGGCTAAAAGAATTGACAAAATTCTACACACTGTGCCTTTAAAGCGTACATATGTACATTTTTTAAACTATATTATCATCCTGATTTCTTGAGTGGTTCCAGAGGTATGCCTCGATTCGTCTTCCTCATCAGGATAGCCCATTGATATGTGGTCTGAATCACATTTTCAGGTTTTTCAACTGAGGAATTTTGGTATCATTCTAAGGAGGAAAATCTCAAACAATATATTGGACATAGAAATTTCCAATCTGGAAAGATCAACAGTTTTGCAAGCTTTGGAAGATATAAATACATTGAAGGCTTTTCTGCTCAAAAACAGTTTGTTTTTATTGCTACTGCTCAAAAAAGGCTTCAAATAATAATTTAATGTTACATTTCAGACGTAACATTTAAAGAATCCATAAATAAAAGTATTCATCATATTTTCAGAAAGTGCAATTTCATCTCCGGTTCGATGTGATGGGTCACATTTATTTAACAATAATTTTCTGAAGCTTTAATAAAAAAAATCATCCAAAGGCAAATTTACTGAATCATGGTCCTTTATATTTTTTAAGACCAGGTGGTGAAATAGTCCTTTTTAACACAAAAATAAGTTCTGACTTACTTTAGGACGTAGGCACCAGTGATGTGGACAACGTAAAGGCAAATGTAATAAAGCTGTCGGGGGATATCTTCCTGCAGAGATAAAACAGACGAGGAGAGTTTGTTAGCATCAGCAACAACCACTGATAACGAGGTTTGCTATAAGGATTTACAGAAGTGTTTAAAAGTTGAACCGTTCAGCGTATCTGGATTAGTTTCAAACTTTATAAGCTAATAAAAACAGATGTTCACTACCCTGATGTTTACTTGTTGAGAAAAATGAACCAGCTCAGTTATTGAACCTTTGCTTTCAGTATATGTAACCTTCAAATACACAGTAATGAAATACATACCCTTTATTCTATCATGCACATCAGTTTGAAGGGCCTACCTGTATTGCTCAACCCAAAGTGCCAGCAGCTACAATTTGAAGGGGTTGAGTATTGACTTGGACCCCTTGCACAAAACTTACACCAAGTTCTCAAACGTCAGAAAACTGAAGAAGACATCGGCTGTCAGGAGTCGCCCTGGTTTCATCCGAGATCATTTGAATCAGGACATGAAAGGAGCACCAGTGGCCTGAATCTTTCCATGTTTATTCAAAATCTGTAACATTTTTCAGGCAGACGTGCTTCGACAAAGTGCCGTAATGATACAAACACTGCAGAGACTTCAACAGGACTTCTAAGAAACGACTCAGACGTAAAGCATTCAAACAGCTGGTGTAATATATATATA